TTTAAATAATTTTATTTTAAAAAAAATGAGAATGATTGTGAAGCTTGGTTGAGGTGGTGGAGTCAGAAGGTGGAAGACGGTGGATTGTCCAGCTGCTCCTCTTGCTGTTCTTGCTGAACTTTCCCAACTCAAAAAAACACGTATAGAGATTTTTGTTTTACTTTCCTTTTTTTTTTCTTGCTAAATTTCTTCATAGCAATTCATTACATCACCAACTACCCTACTCGCTTTGGAGCTGTGTTCCCTGTTAGGATCATCATCGCAAAGGATTTGCAAGCCAGTTTCATTCATTTGGAAAGCTTCAGAAAGACATTTGGTAGTCAAATTCGATGGGTTGGTTCTTCTTCTTCTTGGCCGCCTTCTTCTGTTGCTGTCGTCAACTCTAGTTGCATCACAGCTTCATTGGTTAGCTCTTCTCTGTGTGATTGCAGAAGTTGTGTATCGTTGGCTTCTTCCACCTCATCAAAACCCGCTTTCTTGGCCAACCCAAGGATATCTTTCTTCATAGCGGGGACAACATCTTTAAACCCTTTTAAGTCACTGATACGTTCAAGTCACAACTTACCCTGTGCACCATTCATGCATGCCTGAGTAACTTCAGCCCAGGACTCATCGATGTTATCGATGCACTTGAGGATGTTATAGTCGCACCAAAATTGCCGCATTGTAGGCTTGCCTTCCCCATTGGTGCCTCTAATGAGCTGGTCAAAAGTACGGCGTAAGTGATGCACCTTAAATGCAGCAATGACTCCTTGGCCCAGGGGTTGGATGAGTGATGTGGTGTTAGGTGGCAGAAAGACAGTTTTGACATTTTTACACAGGTCATCCAGGTTGACTGGATAAGCCAGCGCATTATCAATAAGTAATACAATCTTGAAATCAAGATTTTCCTTGGTACAGTATTCTTTCTATGCAGGGACGACAGAGAGAATCATTCTGAAAAAGTAGCTCCAGTTATCCATGCCTTCTTATTGCCTCCCCTAACGACTGGAAGGTGTTCCTTTGAAAATCCCTTGAGAGGTCATAGTGTTTTGGAGTAGTACGTTGTCAAAGGTTTCATCTTCATGTCTCTGGCAGCATTACCACTTAGAAGCAAGTTAGGCGGTCTTTAGCTGCTTTAAATCTGATGCTTTAAACTACTATGCTCTCGTCGTAATAATGGTACGACATTAACTGGGACATCGTTAAGTGGGGAGTTACTATATTCACTTTGTCCACATCCTTTGTGACTTTATTGACCTACATCGTATCTGTTCTTAGACTTCTGCTTTCCAAACTGATAAATTCTAGCACTTTTTAATCTCACCCGCTTTGGCCACTGCTCCATAGTCCTGATCATTTTGGTTGTCCATCTCTATACTTTTTTTTCTAATTACACGGCTTCCTTTTTGAGATGCAGAGACCAGCATTGCACACAGTATTTGAGATGTGGTCACACCTTGGTTTTGTGTAGCAGCATGACTTCTCCACTTTGTTTTCAATTTTCTTTTTAATGGTACTGAATACAATATTCGTTTTCTTGCTTGCTACTGCACATTGAACTGGTGTTCTTGGAGAACTACCTACAGGGATTCCAAGGGCACTTCCAAGACTTGTAAGAGGTACCCAGCAACCTAGTGGAGATCTGAAAAGAGTCGTACCTGTTGTCTAAAGGTACATATACTCTCATTTATGTACATTGGGGTCAGGCAAAAGGGCTTGATCCCCTCCAGAATGTGCTGAACCTATATTCCTCCAAATAAACTTTCCAAGTGATAGGACAGGAATATCAAGCACAGATCTTGTGTTAACTGTTCTGTGGTTGAAATGGAAATTGGCTGATGGCAGTGTATTTTCCTCATGGAAGTGTTACGCTGTACCCCCCTGGAGGGGTGGGGTGCTTGCTCAGGGCCAACTTAGTCGTCTTTGGGATCCGAGTGCCCCCTGAAGCCAAGCAGAGCCTGGCTTCTAGAGCAGGTTGGGAGGTGGGAGGAAGCCCTAGGGCCTAGCTCAGGGATGGGCAAAATGTGGCCCACAGGCTGGATGCAGCCCGCCAAGCCATTCTATCCGGCCCGTGGGGCTCCTAAAAAAAATTTGGAAAATTAATATTTATCTGTCCCTGGCAATTTTGTCATGCAGCCCTCAATGGCTTGCCAAAACTCAGTAAGTGGCCCTCTGCCTGCAATAATTGCCCACCTCTGGCCTAGCTCCTGAGTGAGGGAGGGACTTTCCCATCTTGTTGAGGAGAGCAAATACAAACCAAAGCTCCAAAAATCAAAATGGACAGCTGCTCTTCAACAAAGGTGTTTACTGAGGCAAAGGGTACCTAGCCAGAAGTCATTTGCCTCCTCCTAAGGATTATGTAGTCCCTTTTCTCCCTGATCCAACCTGCACTCCCCTGAGTACCCCAAATACTCAGCTTTTCTTTTTCTAGTCGGCCCAGTTCCTGAATCCCTGCAAAGCCACTCAGTTAATCTCCCTCAGACTGCTTAGGCCAGGAGCTGACTCGCTCCTCATGCAACCTGCTCTGCTGCCTATTGAGGTTGAAGGCAGGGAAGGATGATACCTTAAAGACTAACTGGTTTAGAGAGGTGTAAACTTTTGTGGGCATCAACCTCAGATGCTTGCAGAAATAACAAGGAAATAGTCCCCTGCTCTTTGCAAGTCTATTCTTAGCATCTGACTTCATGCTAACATGACTAACTACCTCATCTGATTCAGTTTTCATAGAGCCTCCCATGTTTGAGACCAGGAGGCAATCCCATCTGATATATCAACAAAGTTTTTCAAGTCTCTGTTGGTGCTAGAGGTTTAGCTTGTCTTTTTTGCACACAGGCAACTCTGGCCTCACCATTTATTTATTTTTTTTTTTTAACCCAGTGGGGGTCAAGCTTTTTGGTAGGCATGCCACAAATTAGCTCCATATCCTCCCTGAATGCAGTCTGATCCCTTTCCCCTTCCTGATCCACTGCTCTGCTTTCTGCCCTGTCCACCACTGTGCTGCCTGTCCTCCCTGATCTGCCTTGTTCCACACACACAGGCTTTCCATGCTACTTGTGACATGTTTGCCATAAGCTGCCTTGCTTTAAACCATTCTCTTCCCCCTACCTTCTCCTCCCCCCACCCCAAGTTACCCAGAGGGAAACTGAGGCACACAAGCTTATTACATCATGCACAAAGTTCACAGGAAATACTACAGTAAAACCCATATTTTATCACAGGAAGCGTTTAATTCTGGAAATCATTTACCCTTTAATTCCGCAGTTGGGGCCTGTGGAACTTCAGGGAATGCAGAAAGACCTATCTGTCTTCCCAGTTTGAGGGGGAGTGTATTATAGGACTAAACAAATGGAGTGATTGGTGATGCCTGGCTTCAGTAGGTAAATGAGGGGTAAATGTGTAGCTGAGCAGGGTTTGAAGTTGTTGTGTGGGGGGGTTTGTTTTTAAAGAACCTGGTATAACAAATTTAGAATTTAAACTTAAATATTTGAAAATTAGTCATCCTCTACTTAAATTCCAGACCATGCTGTAATTTTTTTATTTGAGTGTTAGTATATTTACTCGATTCCAAAATGGGTTCCCCCTTTCCCCCCTCAATTTAACATAGGGCTTCTCTGTTTAACAAGGAGCTTTTCCACTAGCCCCCATTTAACCTTTAGGGGCAAAAACCTCTAGTGCTGGAATTGAGTACATGGGAGCTTGGGGGGTGGCAGGCACCTGCTGTGGCTCCAGTTCAACCACTCCTGCTCCTCCCATCCCATCTTCCCCTGCACTGCTTCTGCCCCACTGTAGCCTTGAGACCCCTGTCCCTTCCCCCATCCTAAATTCAGGGTTGTATTGAATTCAGGTAAATATGGTATTTAGTCTTGAATTTTTTACAGTTTTTCCGTAAGCACTTAAAAGCTATATCCCCTGTTAGGTAGTAGTGAAGTAGTTACTAGTTAATGATTGTAGGGAAGACCTGCACCCTAAATTTATTCTTAAGCAGACAGGGAGCATTTGTTTCTTCTGAAAGTTGCATTTTAATAATATAATGTTCTTTATTACTTTAGCTAGTATATTGTTTTTGGGTGTTTCAGTGCTCATTAGACATTCATTGAGTATTAAGAGGTGTATTTACTCTTATCTGTATTGTATACAAGGGACTAAAAGAGTAGCCTCTTTTATTGAAAAAAGGAAGGGGCTAATGAATTAATGAAGTTCATGCCTTACTCAGGAGGAAATACTTCTAGAATACTTCAAAAGTATCATGTAAATTGTTCATAACTTTTTTATGAATTGGGCTCACAGCGTGTAGGCCAGATGTAAGGCTGTTAAAATGAAGCAATTATGGGAGTTCAGAAGTTGCTAGAACTGAAAACAATGGAGCAAACAGTAAAAAGCTTTCATCTCGATTAAACCTAGTCCTGAGGCAAAGATGTTAATTTAACAGACTCCAAGATGCGATTTATATATTCTGGTAATTTTAGTTCTCCGTATGTGATCAAGGAAGCAATTACTAGTTTTATGTAAAGAATTTTGCACAAGTGACATAACCATTAAAGGAAAAACTCTAAACTTTTTACTTGCTCCCTTTTTGACTATCCATTTCAATGATTTTGGCATAACTTAAAAACTGGTAGCTGGCTTTCTTGGTTTTATGGGGGAGGGTGAGCACTTCATTTTTAAAAGCTTACATATACCATATATTTGAGAACATCTAAAATAGGATTGGTTTTAGTCACACACACAATTGAAGATGCTTTATAAAAATATATCGTATTTAACCTATTTCCCACATATTCCTTTTGAATAAATAATAATAAAAAAATTCCTATAATCTCAGTAAAAACTAGTTGTGGGGAAAAAAATCTCCTTAAAGTTGCAAAAAATGCTTCCTGTGTTTTGCATATACCTTTACCCAGAAAATCTTTTACTACAGTATTCTGCATTGTATGATGAAATAAGACCAAACTTCTGAAGATCTTGTTCTTGCCTTTATAACAATCCTTTATTTTTCTTTTTCACCTGTCCCCCCAAAGGTCATGCTCTTAAACCACAGGTTGCTTCAATTTTTACATCCTTTTTGGATGGCCTGAAAAAATTCTACATAACAAAGGTATTTAACTTTGTTTTCTATAGTAATTAGCACTTTTTAATGCCATGCACAGGATTCAAAAGACTTCTGTTATGCAATCCTATGTACTGAAATGTATGAAGTGTAACAAGTGCTCCAGTATAGAAAGTCCATGGAATGGTTCATTGAAGAATCCCATTGTAGATGAAAAAAGACTTTTGCTATTGAGATTTCCAATTTGAAAATAAACTAAAAGTTAGATTGAGCATTACTAAATGGAAAATCAGTTTAATGGGAGGAAAGGAATGAATTATTGTCTGTACAAAACTGAGGATGTCCTACAATGTGAGTTAGTCCTCCGTAACACACAATAATATATATTTAATATAGACAGTGTAACTGTGATGGAAAAAAGGCTTGACTGATAAGAATAATGCCTAGTGTACATGCTTATTTTGGAATAAATCTTTTTCTTTAAATTAATTTACAGGATACTCTTAATCCAAAATAAAAATATCCGTAGGAAACTATTCTGGTATAACTGCTTTTTCACAGCCACTGTTGTGTTTAATAGTCTGAAACCTCAGTGATTCTGTGGCAGAGCCAGGACTAGAATTTAAAAGTTACTGGCTTCTAATCCACTGATTTAACCCTTCAGCATGTAGTTTCCATAACAATACTATATTGTGGAATGATGCTAGTATCTTCCTAGTTAGTTTTAGCTCGTCTCTGTCAAGCAGTTTTGCCAAAACTTTAATCCAATATACCTTGAATTTGACTTTTTACTCCAATATAGCAGTAAATCCGAGAACTTTGAAATAAACCTGTCTGAAAAGTATTTTTTGAATCTTATTTCTTTAATCACTATGATCTAGAAGAATATTTGCTCATGCAAATGGATTCTTTCATTGTAATGAAAATTAACCATTGTCTTACATTGTGATGACATACGGGCTATGACATAATAGACGTTTTCTTTTTCACAGTTTAAAGGATTTGACCCCAGTGTACTATGTGTAGCCACTTTACTCTTTGAGGGTGACAGAGAGAAAGTTCTTCAGCATGAAAAGCAAGTTTATGATATCGCTACCAAATTTGGGTATGATTTTTGGAATCTAAATATTTGAAATTGTTCCATTTTATAAATATAAATTTGAAGCAAAAAATAATTTGTTAGATCACTTTCATTTTGAGAAGCTTCAGCCCTGCTAGATATTGTACTATTGTGTATATCTATTTATAGAATCCTACATTTTATTAAAGTAATCTTATGCTAGTCATAGAATTCTGTTCTGTAGGCCTGCTATTTATTTTTTTGATAGTAGACTAATATTGTCCTTTCTAAAACATGGAAGATGAAATTATAAGGTTAATGCTAACTATTTATAGTTTCACAGTTTCTAGGTCAGAAGGGACCTGAGCAGATCATCTAGTCCGACCCC